TTTTGTTGTATCAGAAGATCCTTAATAATGTCTAACTCAGACTTGTTCGCGCTGTTCTCTAAGATAGCGTCTTGTTTGAGAGTAGACACGATGTAGTCCGCGGTACTAGTCAGATCAGCGTTAAGTTTGTTAACTGAGGTGGTCAGCTTAGAACAAGCTTGTTCGCTTTTCGCGGTGTTTTCAGCAATAATTTTTGTCATCTCTGGATTTATTGACAAAGGGTTTCTTAACATGTTGTCAAATTGCACGGACAACGATGTTGAGGCCTTTTTGTTATTGCAAGAAACAAGGTCTAAGCTATTTACAAGGGTTTTGAAATTCCCTTCACCGTTGCTATCAATCGCTGAAAGATTTCAACTAACTAATTCTAGGCTATCAAGTATAGCAGTAAGAATTTTCAGATCTAGTCCGCCATGTGGCGGTAAGCTGCCTCTGAGGTGTTGCAGCCTCTCATGACCTTCTTCCATCGATTCGGGTCTTTGTAAAGCACCTTCGCGTCTTTGGAGGAGGAGCTGCGCTTCTTCCCTCCGTCTTTCTTCGGAGCGCTCGGGTAGAGCTCTTTCTTGATCGTCCAAGGGTTCCAGCCCTTGACGAACTCTTCAAGCTCTTTGCGAGGAATCAGTTTTTGGAGAGTCTTTTGACTTTCCTGGGCTTGACAGAGGAGTGCTTTGAGCTCCTCTGTCGCGCCTGATGGTCGAGCGGCTTCGCACCTCTTCCAGAGGAGAATGTGCTCTTTCGTCAAGAGCTGAATCTTCTCTTCCTTCGAAAGCATTCTGACTTCCGGAGATTCACGGCGTTTCTGGGTACTTGCCAAGGAGGACGAGGCTTGGGGATCCAAGTCCATCGCGTCCGAGGCTAATTCTACCGGAGCTGTCGCCGGGGCTGTTCCTTCTGGGACTATGGCTAAGTTGGTTTTCTGAACCGACGATCGAGCGGTCGTCACTGTTGTTAAGTCTCTTTTGACCAATGTCGCCTCGGTCGGTTTCTCGACCAAGACAGGCTGTAGCTTCTTTTGGATCGTGATCAACCGGAGACGGTTGACTCGTTCCTCCAGTTGACTTGCTGCGCCTTGGTCGAGTGGCTGGGGGAAGGGGACCGTGCAGGTCGGGGTTGTTGGACCTGGTAGACATTATCGTTTTGTCCCCGAAAAAAAATGAAGAAATGGATTCTTTTTAGTTTACTTGCTTGTTAAGAAAGGATATTTAGCAAAGTTTTTAGTTAAAACTTCGTCTCTTACCTGAGATGGGGCTATGAACCGCGGTTTGAGCAGCGGGGGTAGTAGCAGCGCTGGAACTAGAGGTAACAGACACTGTCGGTAAAGAAGCGTAAAGTTTTTTTTTTTTTTTTTTTTTTTTTATTAGAAAAAATTCGGAATAAGAAAGGCTAGTGTATGCAAAAGAGAACTATTTGACGTACTTTTTGCGAGTCTTTTGGCTTTAAGTTCTGCTAATAATTCGCGGCGACAGTTTTTATGCTGGCGCTTGAGCGCGTTAAAGGCAAACAGGTTGTCTATTCTTTTTTCTTCGTTGAGTTGAACACGAGCAAGGGCGCGGTCGCGTTGTTCTTGAGGGGTAAGTAACTCCCAAGGTGTAGGTTGATAGAGAGCTGCGCGCTGTGCTTTTTCGGAGGTAAAGAGTTCAAGATAGTATTTGATTAGTCTCGAGGTTTCTTGCAATTCCACTATAAGGAAAAAGGTAAGGAAAAAGGCTAGTAAGAAAATGTTTTTTTAAGATTATTTTTGAGCTTTTTATAAGATGTTTAAGTGGTTTGATTTTTGTAGAAAAAATTCAAGAGGAAGGAGTAAAAAAATATGATTTTTTGTATGTGTTTTTGTTTTATTTTTTAAAAAAAAATAGTACCAGGTTTTTATCAAAGATAAAAATAATTTCCCGGCCAGACCCCCAATTGTCAGCCTGGGTGATGCCAAGAGCTTGACTCTTCTAGCTACACCAGGTGCAAAGCTAAGAAAAAAGGTGTACAAGTGTGGGTAACACTTGGAATGGGAGGTGTTTGATATTAAGAAAAGAGATAATAAAAACTGTTAAGTTTTTATAAAGGGAGGGGCCTGAGTTACAGGGGTTTTTATGGTGCCCTCCAATGAATCAGGACCTGTTAAACAGGGGTATTTTTGATGTACCTGATGATATGGTCCTTTGTGTAAAGGAGTATGCCCAGACAAAATGCCTACAACTGAAGTATCAAGGAAATATTACCTACTTGTACTATTTCCAAGCCAAGGGGGACTTCAGGAGGGGAAAAACTGGTCTGGAAGCGCTCACAAAACTGGGTAACAGGTGGTGAGAGAGTGCTGGGGAACAGTTGATGGTTAGTTGGTTGAAATTCAGGATGAAAAAACAGCAGGAACTGGGCATTGACGCAATTGAGTTGCATAATGTAAAGCATAGTGATGATTTGGTTGTACTTTCACACCATTGAAAAGTTTGCCAACAGTGTCACTGTATCTTCTGTAGTCCGACTCAAATCTTTTGATGTGGAGGTTGTTAATTTTCCTAGAGCAGATGATTTGAGTGCATGAAACTAAGTTTCCTGTGTTGAAGAGAAAATTTGATAGTTTTGGTTGACTGTCGATATTTCCAATTTCGGTTATGTGGAGATCAAAGATAACCAATGGAATGATGTATGAGAAGAGGGTAAACCACTGTGATGCCTTCAGCCGTCCATTACCCTCTTCCCCAAGGTTTGGGGGTAACTTGTCATCTGAGAGGAATAGAACTTAGAGAGGGATGAATGCTTGAAGGGCTGCCTCTCTGGTTACTGGGAGAGTAAGAAGAACAAGAAATAAGAGTATGGACTCTTAAAGAAAGGTGTGGCTAATGAAGATGTAAGATTTGTAATGGTAAGGTATGAGGATAATAATTCTGTGTAAAATGTCTTGAGTCTGTAATGCTAAATATATTCCAAGTAAGTAATGCTAAGTCAATGACCAGGGAGTAATAAGATGGGGAACGAATGGCAAGGGCCAAGAGAGCACGACAAGTAAGTCTTCTGAGAGGGGATAAGAAAACAAGGATCAAGGCATCATCACAGGGTACATGTAGCAAGGCAACAACATGGCTTGGGAGACAGGCTTGTGAATGTCATATGTAGCAAGGGGAAAAACAAGGCTGAGACAACAGGGATGAAAGATGACATATGTAGTTACTGTAACAATCTGCCATGGTATGTAATAAAGGCAAACAAAGCTGATGAAGATCAGGGGTCTTTCCTAATAGTCTGGCTCTCTTTGATGGTGGACTTTCTCCCACTTTATACCTTGTTTGTACTTATTTTGTTACCAAGTGTGGTTGGTAATCCATGTTGAGTGTTACTGATGGGTTGTTGGGTCTGGTGGAGCTGATTGCATTGTCTATGGAGTGGTTGAAGGTGGCCATGAGTGTATTACATATTTAGGATGCTGTTTTGATGGTTGTTATGATATGTAGAAGGTGTGAAAGTGGTCCAGAATGATGCTTGTAGAGTGTAACAGATTTTGATTGGTCTTACCACATTGTTCTGGGAGAAAAATGGACCATCTGGACCACCATCAAGGACAAGATCTGTGTTGCTTTCATCTGAGCTGTCCTCCAGTCTGGAATTTTCAGAGGTCTCTTCCAAAGACATTGCAGATGTGGCACCACCCAATTGTGCCTGCTTTCTTCTTGATTGTGCATAAGCAGAACGTCTTCGTTTTTTGGATTCCTTCTTGGTGATTGATTTGAAACCCCATAAATATTGGAAATGAGCTTGCAAGATCCCTTCCAGCCAATTGTGCAAGTCACCAAGCACAATTTTATCAGATGGATTCCAGTAGCTTAGGCGGTTGAGCTCTGACCATTGTACACCTGACTCTTTGAGAAGATTCTCTGATTCCGTGCTTGATGTTGAATCCTTGGCCAATTGGGCCGCCACTAGTGTGGCATCCTTTGACCTGTTTGGTCCACATTGCAACATTACAAGATCATAAAATTATTTTTTGCAGAATGAGCAGAATTATTTTGCAGATTGAGAGGCAAATCCTGCAACCTTCTTGACTGCCGGGGCATCACCAAGCAAGCACAGTAACTTCATTCACACCGTTTGACCATTAGGATACTGATATGTTCGGATTTCAACACCAGATTCCAGCTGAATTAGTTCATCAACAAACGGTTTCAAGAGATGATTGATTGTTTTGGTGTTGGGTGAAAAGGGGTCTGGAGTTATTCCAGCAAGACCAATATGGGAGACTTTGTTTTGAGTTGAAGGCGGGAGGTTTAAGCAAGAGAAAGCAAACACTCCACTAGATTCAACACTTTCAGCAATTTTATTTCCATGTGGGTTGAACCAATTGACGAATAGAGATAAGGCCAAGTCCAAAGAGTTGGACTGATCTTTACTGAACAAGGTTTTGAAAGCGGTGCCGTTTTGAACATCAGTCAGAAATATGTCTTGATTGCCAACTTTGCCAGCCCATTCTTGAATTTCCTTCTCAGTGTCTGGTTTGGAAAGCAGCCAGGTGACCCAGGTGAGAATGGACTGAGAGATGAAATAACAGCAAGGAACACCAACAAATTGAGGATAAGGAACCGGATTTTTTGCTGTTGATTTGGGGGGGGAATTGGCCAAGGTCCTTCATGCCACAATACACCTGGTTCTGCTTGAATAGAGTTTCTCCACATTGTTCCTCATGCGGATACGGTAGATAGGTGCAGAAGAGGGATGCATCACGGTTTGGAGGGTATAGGGAAAAGCATTCACGGCAGCATATAGTCTTGATGAGGGTAGGATTGATGTTGGCTTTCTCAATGAGGCTTTGCAGATCACGGGCAAGTGTTTCAAGCTGGTTGATTGGAGCTGATTTTTTCTGGAATTCCTCAAGAATTTTGAAAAGGAAATTACAAGAATTCCTGCAATTCTTGCAGCTCACACCACAGAATAAGTAAGGCCAAGATATAAAGAGAACAATGAAAGCTGTTTTGCATGTCAGATATATATTTTTTTCTTGGAAAAAACAAAACAAAGAAATCAGGAAAGGAAAGAGGACTCACAAATCAAGTTGTTGTCAGCCATGTTGGGCCCTTCAAAGACTGAACCATTTGAGGTGTCAGAATGAATAACTGTGCTATTGTTGGTTGAAGATTTATCACTGTTTGAATCCTCAAAGGCTTTCAATCTTGAAGTTGATGTGTCCTGATGGTTCGAGGAGCAAGGTATTTTCCATGCTGGGTTGTTTTGGTTTCTGGATTGTAGACTGAGTTGAAGATGCATTTTGAACAAGTGCAGAGTTCCTTCCGGTTTTGGGTTTTCGGCATGTTTTGTGATTTGTTTTGAAGTTTGAAAAAAAAAGATAGCGGTTTCCAAATTTGAAAAAAAAAACGGCACAAAAAATTGTAATTCAGACAGGACCACCAGTTGGTGGATGTTCCTCAAGGTGGTTGAACAACAGGTCGTAGTTTGTACTTTGGACAGGCCAGTCGGTTTCCAAGTTTGAAAAAAACGGTGCAAAAAAATGTGATTCAGACAGGACCGGCCAGTCGGTGAATGTTCCTCAAGGTGGTTGAGCAACGGGTCGTAGTTCGTACTTTGGAAAGGCCAGTTGGTTTCCAAATTTGAAAAAAAAAACGGCGCGAAATGATTCAGACAGGACCACCAGTTGGTGGATGTTCCTCAAGGTGGTTGAGCAACGGGTCGTAGTTCATAGTTTGGACAGGCTAGTCGGTGATTGTTTGTCAAGGTGGTTGAGCAGTTGACTTAGGTGCAACCCAGCAAGTTCAGAGCAGCTAGCAAGGGAAGCCTCTACGACTCTTCTTGCAATCAAGGGCAATCATTTAGAGAATACAGCAACGGGTAATGGCTGATCTCCTTGATAGAAGACCAGGACCCTCAGCCCTCGTTGATTAATCAACTGGCATCAGGTCATTGCACACTTCTTTTCCGCATTCGCAGGCATCTCAACCCCCTCTGCCCATTTTGTGGAGCAAGGGAGACAGTTGGTCATCTCATGAACGTTTGCCCCCAAGCAAAAACTCCACAAGCCAAGCTGAGAGAACAGCTGCACAAGCTTCAAGTCTGCTTCAAATTGGACCGTCTCAACAGGCCGAGCCAGCTCTGGCAAGTTTCTTAATCAGCAGGTCTTTCTTGTCTGGACAGTGGGGCCAGAGCAAGTCGGGAGGTTTTGCCTCCAATTTTCACTTTTCATTTATTTTTTAATTTTTCATAATATGTATCTTGGGTCTCAATTACCCATGCTTGTTGCTTGTAGCCACTGATGTTGCTTCCGCTTTCCCTGCTGTCACTTCATGTAGTTTGGGGGTTGTTGTCGCACACAAGTGGCACTCACGTAAAGCGACCGCTGTCGCAGCACAAGGATACAACAGCCAAATGACCGTCCGCTGGCACTGGCGGGTATCCGCCAGCGGATAGCGGATATCCGCAGCGGATTATCCGCGACCATCTCTAGCTTGTGCCAAAAACAAACACACCCGCGTGTTGCTTTTGCGTTTTTAGGGTGTTTTTTGCAAAGAAAATTCTCATATATCACTTTCTTAACTTTTACACGGGAAAAATCTGGGACAGCATGCCCAAGATGCTAAAGTCAATTTTAATCAAGAAAATATCCAGAAATATGTACAACTACATTCTAGAGAAACTTTGTAATTGTCAAAGGTTCCTCTCAGATTTGTGTTTTTTGCTTATGTAATAACTTCTCAAGGCTCGGAACTCAACTCGGATTCTTTGATTTTTTCAACATTCCACATTTTTCAAAAAAATCTTACTCATCAGATTTCCATACAATATTTCTAAAATCTGGATGAGGAGAACCGCAACATGGCCAACTTTGACCACGCTGGATCTGCCTGAAAAAAAAAGTTAAACTACATGCATGGTGGGCAATCCAAATTTTGCTACACCAAAACATCTCAATAGCAACCCGCGAGCTTTTGCGTATTTGTCACAAGTCCCTCCTTTGGAGGCTTGCTTTGCGAGTGGAGCCAGCCAGCCAAGGTCACCAGGCCCGCAGAAGCGCGGGACTTGTTTCAAGTTTATAGGGCAATACCCAGTTGGGTGGAGATTCAAGTCAACTAGGAGGCTGGAGCATGATCCTCATGCCCTTGATACAGAGGTGAAATTTCAACCTCTGACAACACTCTTCTTCCCTGCAGAAAATTTCCTCTTGAAAAGACCCAGCATACCCAATATATTCCCAGTTTGAAGGTTGGGTCAGCCACTACCCAACCCAAGCACCTACCTGCATCTAATCTCTACCTCTTGCTATCTGATCTAATACAAAAAGAAGAGTAAAATTGTGAATTTTGAATTCGAATTTCATCAACTGATTCAAGACCATTTTCTTTTCTTCTTTGCATTTGGAAAACAAGCTTCAAATAAATTCATACATCATCATGTTCACTTTTTTTAAGTAAACAACTGTCAGCAGCCACCATGTTCATGTTTAACCTTGAAATGTGCATCCTTCAACAAGTCCATCCATTTTATCTGTGGTCATTATCATTTCTACCTTGGACTTTGTGATGCCATGTGATTCTTCTCACATTTGGATTCAGCCATCTTTCATCTCATCAGTCCCCTTGCAGTTGAACACTGAGTTCTGTCCTAAAATTTTCCCTTTCACCATGTGTCTTCCTGAATCAGAAAGATTTTATATACCACTTTCAGTCTCACCACCCTCAATCAACAACCAAACAGATCCATTTTCGAAAAATTGAGCTTATCTTGGGAAATCCCCCAAATGGAAAATTTGATCAAATCATGATTTATTATCTCATTGAACTCAGCCACTCACCACCATCTAATAGCACAATTGCTCAGTGAGACCACTCGACCTGGCCCAGTCAAAAATGTGAATGAAACAAATTTGACAAGAATTCTTTATCAATCAACCAGTGCCAAATGGCCATAAACCATGGTGTTACTTATCAGATTTCTCAACCCATTTTTTACCATCACTGTGGCCATTATTTCATGGTAAAAATGGGTGTCATCACCATTGACACAGTGGATAGCAATAAAAAAAAGGTGTATTTTTGGCACAAGATATGCAATTCTACCAATAGAGCTACTTACATATCTGACCAAAAAATGAATGGAATCTGTGGCTTCGTGTCTTTGCCTATGCACATTTAATAACTGATGCGATTGTGCCAAGGGAACACTTTTCAATCTAGGGAAATTGATCAAAGAAGCTTCAAGAATACGCAAGAAAAGATAAAAACAGTTGGAGATTTGATGAATCACTACTTAAGCAGGAATCATAGTATTCAAAAAAAAAGATTGATAGACAAAAATATGAAAGTTGGTTTCTAAAACATTTTATCCAATTTCTATTTTGTGCATTGGTAAAATTGAATGTATCTAATATATGATCATATTTGATATTTGTTTTTAGACTTTTGGCTTTCAATTTAAATCCATATCTTTTTTTCTGAAATTCCCATCAAGTTATTTAGATGAGCCTTGATTGCCTCCTTTTGAGTTGACAATCTTGGATAATTCGTTCTTCTGCCATGGATTTAATGTATTCACTGCAGCTTCCAGTTCTTGTTTACGAACTTCACGATTATACATTTCTTGCTGCTTCCATTGATCTTGAATGTAGAAAATTGTGGTTTTTAATCCCATCAATTTTGCATAAAGAATCAGCACAGGATTTTGATCCAAAATTCACAATTTGATTGGTTAAGAAGACTTACTTTCTTTTGCCTGTGTGGCAGCAAATTGCTGCTCTAATTTCCTTGCACCTGTGGCATTAAATTTTAGAATTCACCAACACCATTTTTGTTAGTTTTTTTTTTGTAAGAATGAAGAGGGAGTTTTAAATCATTTTTAAATTTAGAGTGTGGCAGTGAATTTTTTTTATTGTGTAATTCAATAAAAAAAGAATGGCTTTTTTTCTTATAATAATAAAGAATAAAAATTAGACATACGTTCAGCAGAGGACTCTTCCATCCTCTTGTGGAGGTGGTGAAGTTGAGCATCTACAGCAGCACCTTCAACACCTCTCTTTTCCAAAGTTTTTGGATATAAAGTTGGATGTGCTGAGATTGCATAACAATGTAAGAGCTGAAAGGCACATAAGACAATGTATACTTGCATGGCTGGAGTTGGATTTATATTGTTAATTTTTGGTTGAACTAAGGGTTGCAATGGATTATACAAGTAGAATGTGGATGATTGGGAAAGTCCAGGAAGATGAAGGGTATTTATAATAAAAAGCTACCCATTTGTGTGGTGATATAAAAGTGTAAGCAAGCAGACTGTTGCTTGCTCTTCCTCCAACCCAGTACACAAAGTGTATACTCAAATAAATATTATCTTTTTGAACTGATGTATAATTGTACTGTATTTTTGAACCTCAGAATCATATCTGTAATCTGATGGGCCTGCAGAAAATGGGTGTTACAACATATATATAATTGGTTGACTCAGATGCTTTTCCCCACATGTAAGACGACTCACATTATTTTCAAAAAAGATTCAAGTTGCTTCAATCAACCCCTCAATTATGTCAAATGTCAAAAAGTCAAGTTTACCCCTGAAGACCTACATAAAAATACACATCATGTTTCACTGGAATGATTGCATGAGTAAAAGTTGCAGACTGGGAGCTCAAACATTAGCCTTATGTAAATTGAAGTTGTCATTTTTTCTGATCAAACCTATGTCAAACTGTTGAAATTCTGTCTCTTTCTTCTCATTCCTAAAAACCTTTTCCTCATTTTTTAATGTTTATACAAATTAATATACATGTTTCATGTCAGCCTTAGAGCCAGCCAAGCTGGCCAAAAGACTGCTTAAGTCATCCTTTTCAGCTATGTTCCTACTGTAACTTTTTTATCTCTTGATCTTATTACATTCTGACTTCAGAAATGAATTCCTCATGTGATTCCAACCTTAGTCACCACTACACACTTTTACACTACTCTTCTCCTTCATAGACTTTGTAATATTTCACCGTACCTTGTGAAATATCAACCAAGTTGGAATTCCAACTCTCTACCACATGTACATGTTGTGATTATGTAATCCAACTCTGAAAATTCTCTCAGAGTATACTGAGTTTGCATTTTCAGGATCTTCAAGCTTCAGACCCACCCAGAACCAACTCAGACCAGAAATCACCAACCTCAACTTGGATACTTCACCGCCGCATCATCGCCGTGTTATCGTTTGGAGTCCCTTAACTATTGGAATCTTCCCACTCATCGTGTCAGGATCACCAATAAGTAAGTCACTCCACAAGTTCAGCTTGCATCTTTCTGCTAAGTTCCTTCTCTGTCTCTCTGAATGATCACATCATTCTGTTTCTACTAAACCTCTGCCTTAATCATCATCAAATCAAATCAAGTCATCATTATTCTCTGTTTGGTGGTATAACTGAAAACCACATAGGTTTCCCTTTAAAGAACCTTGATCATAGATCTAAAAAATTGAGGTTGGATTGACTTATATTCAATACCAAGTACCCTATTCAGTTTCAGTTGATAGGAGGCGTAGATTAATTCCGCTTAATAACAGCCATCCTTAAAGGAAAGTAAGACTGTAGTAAACCTTGATTATCAAACAAATAAACAATAAAAGATATTATTCATTTCTTTTCTCTTTCTTTCTCTCTCCCTTTCTCTTATTCTAGTTGTATTTCTTTATCCCCTTGAAATACATCTAGAATTGCCCCCCAATCCTTGTGTCCTGTTGTCACTTTTGAGACCCAGGCTCACATTTCAAGTATGTTTTGTCCTTGTCTGAGTGGCATCTTATCTTTTTCCTAGTGATGAAATCTCCATAGTCTTTGAACCTGGTTCTAGTCTTTATCAACAAGAATTTGCTCCTGTCAATGTTTCATTCATGTTTCAAACTGTTATTCATTTTTATATTCAATTTCTTCTCAAAACCACATGTTGAACATCTTGTATGTAGACCACTTATCAACTAGTCTCTGCTGAGTAAAAATATCATTGGTTCTCTCCTTCCTTTTCCGACCCTTTGAGCTGGTCCAAAAAAAAACCAATTTTGTTGCCAAAAAATTCTCCTAAAACATTTCCCTTCATTGGTCTTAATTTCTTCACAAACCACACCTGAAACTTTTACTCATGTGATTGTTTCAGTGAAACATGATTTTGAGGATTTTTTATGTAGGTCTTCAGGGGTAAGCTTGAATTTTTGACATTTGACATAATTGAGGGGTTGATTGAAGCAACTTCATTTTTTTCTTTGAAAATGATGTGTTTGATGCAGGTTTGATAATAAAAAATGACAATTTAAATCTGGATAAGGATGACAGTTGAGCTGTCTGTGATTGTGCCTGTCAATCTAACTTAGAGATTGTTTGTTTGTACTCAGGTGCCTGTTGGTACCTAGGTACCTGTTCAATTTTTCAAGAAAATAGATACCATGTACCGCACCTGGCACCTCCCGGCAGGTACCAGCAGTACTTTTGGCAGGTACTGCGGGTACCTCCCCTCTATTTCTCACCTAGTTTCACTCCCAGAGTCCCAAGTCACTTTTTAATATTTAGGGGCTTGGCTGATTGACTCCCAAAAGTTGGAGAGTTGACTCCCCAACCCCCAAAACCCCCAATTTTGGGAGTTGATCCCCCAAACCTGTCAGCAGGTTTGGTAGTTGGATCCCCAATAATTTTAAAAAAAAAAATGAAACCCACAAAGGAGGAGGGAGTCAATGCCCCAAAACCCACTGGGTTTTGGGGGTCGGCAAACCAAAAACAGCCCCCAACGGCCGGGAGGGAATCCTCCCGGCTATTGAGAGCACACTCTTGACTTCAAGCTTGAGGGCTCAATGGACAAGAGTGCATACCTCTTGGCCATTGAGGGTGTACACTCTCAATGGCTGAGAGGCTTTCTCTTGGTTGTTGAGAGTGTACACTCTCAAGGACCGAGAGAAAGCCTCTTGGCCATTGAGAGTGCATTTTCTTGGCCGTTGAGAGTGAACACTCTCAACGGTCAAGACTGTTCTCTTGGACGGTGAGGGTGCACACCTCAATGACCAAGAGGGCTGTTGAGTTTTTGAGCTCTTGACCGGTTGAAGTTGAGAAATTTGAGAAAGTGTCACAAAGAAGGCAGGGGCCCTTTTTTGGGAAAGGTTCAAGGTGAAGGAGTGAAAAGAACCAATGATTCTCATTCACTTGCAACTAGACAGGATTAAATAAACTAGGTACAAGTGGTCAAAAAGTGGTTGAAAGAAAAATGAATAAAAACTGAGAGAAGATAAAATAAGTTCTTGAAAATAACAAACTAGACAAAACTTCTCAGTCTCTTGTAGTCAGGCCAGATGAGTTATTCAAGACAAAGTATTTTAAATCACAAATAACAAGGGGCGTTAATTCTTGTTAACCAATTTTTAATATCAGACAATAAACCAGAAAAAGAAGAAATTAATCCAAAACAGCTAATTCCCTTAAAATTAGAAATTTTTGCAATAATTTTGTTATGTAGTATGAAGGGTACCGTTGTTGACCTTAAGTCTTGGAGCCCCTACCTCAGAACTACTCCCTGACCTCTTCCTTTTATACCCGTAGGTCTGCCTCACTTCTCAGTTCATTTCATTTTTTTTCCTGATTCAAAAACAAATGCTCTTCCTAAAATAGTTTTTTTTTGTTGCACATTTCTTTGTTTGTACCACACTTGTACTTCTTTCCTCAATTGGAATGTGGAAAAAGTTGTATCAGCCGTACTGTACTATCAAGCTCACTGACCTTAAGTCAGACCGTCAATGAGTAATGATTAAGGTGAGCTGAGCTCACCAAGATTGCCTATTCCAATAACACATTTGTCTTTTTTAAATGCTAAACACAGCCCTAACTGCAAATAGCTATTCCGAAGATCTGATTTCGTTTTATTGCTATTTCTCACTGGTCCCGTCAAAGAGTAAGCTGAGCTGAGCTCAGGAAGATTGCCTATTCCGACAAAACATTTTCCCTTTTCAAATACTAAGAACAGTTCCTAACAAAAACAGATATTGTATCACAAAGCTCTGAGGTTGTAAGGTCGTTGGTCAAGGTGGCCGCCCCCCTGATGAGCGAGCCAGATAGCGAGACCTCCAAGACGGCCGATATTGAGACCGGCCTCAAATCCGTCTCACTTGCCTCACCCGGAATCACCCTCAGGAGCGAGGGCCATCAGTCTCAGGTCTGGCCGGCTTTGATCGAGCTCCCAAGCACACCCGTCCAAGAATCCTCGGGAACATTGATTGTAAGGCGGTTCATATCTTTTGATAATCTGACTAAAAATAATCTAACCGGAATTTACTCCACTCTCGTACCAATCAAACCAGCCATTTATCCCTGATAAGTGAAGCTCTCACAAGCAATCACATGCCCCACAGATGGTCGACTTCAAGCCCAGCTCAGCCGAAGTCTTGACGGCCTCCCATCCGATCACCTTGCCACAGGGCGGGTTTCGAGGGTTGTCACCAACCGCTTCTCACCTACAACCAAACCTGGCTTAATCCTCTTCCTCCTCGGATCCAACCCAAGAGTTAACGAGCTCCAACCAACACAGTCCAGACCAGATCATCTTCAACTATCTAGCTTCCATCTCCCTCCCCACCCCTTCGACTTCCTCTCCTCCAAGGGCCCTTCCATTCATGGACAGGCTGCTCCTCATCATCAAGAGCACTTCAAGTTCAAAGACCGCCCGTGAGCGATCGCGAGCAAAACGGTCTTTATCAGATACATACTGGCCTTCTTAGGTGGATCCTGGCTTGTTGCTTGACTCATCGATGGTCAATAAATCATTCTTAGAAAGTACCGCTTACCATGCACCCTCAATTTTTTTTCTTCAAATTGACAACACACCCGTCTACAAATACTTCAAACAACTCAGAAAAACCAACCTCCTGTGTCTTAATCACTAGACTTATTATCTATTGGTTTTGTTCATATGGAACCAATTAAGTAAACGGTTTTACTTTATTTAGATTTTGTCTTAACAACAAAACACCCATTTGTTTTGTAGTCCTTCTTTATTTCGATAGGTCTCTTTGATTTTATGTTTCATCTGTGTCATCCCCACTCTGATTCTGAATGTTCAAGGAATCAAAATCTAAAATGAAAACTCCCAAGAAATGGAGTCCTTCCTTACTTTTCCCATGAGACGTGCCCGGTCCTGAAAGGTGCTAGGTTTTGCTCCTTTATTGAGACACCCCTCATCTACCTAGGAAAAAAATAGCAAGGGACTATTGACTTGCATGTGGTGAAGTCTTAAGAGGAGCAAGTGAAATGAGTTTCTCCCTTCGACATACTCCAATGCCCCATTTGACCAATAGAATAGTCTCCAAACTCCCCAAAAGTGGACTTAGCATTGAGTGCTGTTCCTTTGAATTGTAATTCAATAGTTCTTTTTTTAACAATGTTGTGATATTTTATTTGGCCGGTAAGAATTCCTTGTAGACCTCCTGAATGTGAGAGATAAATCAAGACTTGTGAGATCACTTCATCAAGGTGGAAAACATCAAAAAGTGAAAAGAGAGAGCAGAAAAGCACCCACATTTTCAGTTCATCAGTAAAAGGATATCCAAGTTTTTTTAGAAAGCTTTCAAACTTTGCTTGATCGGCAGGAGGGACTTGAACACCAGCGAGAAGAAAAGACAAATCAACACTGTGATTCCTATCAACGCACCAAT